TCTTATTAACGCCATATCATAGTTATTGTTCAAGTTTGGTTCTTCTTTCTTCCAAGGGATTCCCACAGAATATCTTCCCTTGTCATAAATTGTACTCTCTGTTACCTTGACTACTGCTTCTTTCTCATCAAAGGTTCTGTCGTCAGTGTCCTTAATTCCCAGAGCTTCAAGCTCCCAGAATTGTCGGAGCTGGTGGTCTTGTTGCTGAACGATTGGCTGCTCAACCTGGCTTGAACGGTAAGTACGTGTAAAATATGAACGCGATTTACGCCGGTGTTCCTCAACGATGGTAGGCCCAAAGCAAACCAACCTAAATTGGTAAGTCTTGCTATTGGGTCTGTAGTTTTACTACCGTGCACTTCCTTCAGAACATGGTGAAATAATGGGTGATCGCTGCCTATCAACACATCTATCTGCTTTCGTCTTGAAGTCTGCTCAAAGGAAATGGAAGCCAAATGGGGCCACTTTGCTTTCAAGTCTGCCCAGTTAAAGGCGGGTGTGTCTCCAGTTATATTGTCCAGGACATTAGCAGATAAATTCTCTGAAAAGTTTCTGTTTAAGCTTGTGACAACCAAGTTTACTTGTTTAGACTGTTTTTTAACTTGGGATCCACCAGTACCCGAGATTGTCAGTTCATGCGTTTCTCCGTTCAATTGTAATTCTTCAGCAGCAGCTTCAGTCACATATGAACCGGTGGAACAAGGGTCTAACATAACGTTAACCTTCAGTTCTTTCTTATCATTCTTGATAACAGCTGGTAACACCATTAGCGATATGTGGTCAGTGCGTTGAGTGACATAAGATCTAGTATCAGCCGTATTTTCACCTGCTCCGGATTGTTGTGCACTGTCCTTATCATCTGATAATCTGCTCCTGGTTTGCTGGCTGGAGTCTTTCATCGCCTGTTGTGGGGTAACCGAATGAGAACCAGTTTGACAGTTCTGGTCTAGTCTACGTGGGGTATGAAGTAATCTATTGTGCTGGGTACTATCACAGTCATCGACGCCACACCGTCTTGCTCGAGTACATTCAATTGCTTTGTGTCCAACACCCAGGCATCGGTAACATCGTCTCGATTTCTCTATCAATGCTTTTCGATTTGATACTGATAATGCTTTAAAGGCATCACAGGTCCAGGGAGGATGGTTGTTCTTGCATGTATGCACAACACACTTGAGATTGCCTTTAGACATTGTGTTGAAACCTCTTTCTCTTCTTACGCGGTTTATCCTTTTGTCACCATTTCTCTCTTTACTAGTTCCCAGGCCTTTTGTTTCTTCTTTAGCTTCTTCCATTATCTGTACTCTTAGCTCTACCCACTCAACAAGTGTCTCAAAAGTATCCTCTTTCGAGTGCTCTATCAACCATGACTTATAACATTGTACATCTTCTTCTGGTAATTTTTCTTTACTTATCAGATTCAAACTCTGACCGAAAAGATCTCCTTGTTTCTCACAGGTGTCCTTCAAAGTTATCAAAGTCCTGTCCAACACAGTCAAAAATTCTTCCAAGTCACTTAAATTTTTGGACTGTACCTTTTTCCAATTCTTCAATGCGGTCAATGTCTTAATTTGAAGTCTCCTCTGACCTCCATATTTCTTTTCTAATTTTTGTTTAGCTCTCTCATAAGCGTTAGAGGAAAATCCTAGATCTTTTACCAATTTAAGTGCTTTTCCTTTCAAACTGTTTTGCAGTCTCAACATTTTCTCGTTAACTGGTATGTCCGCATAGTCAACAGCAGATGTGAACGCAGCTTTCCACTGTTCGTATTCTACTTTGTCTTCCCCATCAAATGTTGGTAAGTCCACACCTTTTAATTTAATGGGCCCCACCCTGTGTGAAGTTGGGGTTTTTGAACTTGGTGCTGCTGGTGATGGTTGCCAGGTATAAGGGATACGTGATTGTTGTCTCGGAATATATCTACTCATGCTGTCAAGAACAGGTGGTGGTAACTGGGTATGTAGCTGGTATGTGTTAGGGTTATATCTATTCAGAACAGGTTTGGAGGTTTGTTGCCATGGAAACTGGGCAGGATGACCTTGAGAGGAAAAACCATCACTTAGGTCAGGATCTGGGATGGGTCGTTGCGGGGACTGGGATGAAGTAAATGCTGTGGCACTTGGATCTAGGATTTGTTGTGGTTGGAGGTGACCAGGGTGTGTCGCAGGTGGAGGGGTACTAGGGTATAGGGTTTGTTGTGGTTGGAGGTGACTAAGGTGTGTCTCAGGTGAAGGGGTACTAGGGTATAAGGTTTGTTGTGGTTGGAGGTGACTAAGGTGTGTCTCAGGTGGAGGGGTACTAGGGTATAGGGTTTGTTGCGGTGTAAACTGATTAGGGTCCATCTCATTCAGGGGGGTACTAGGATATAGGGTTTGTTGTGGTGTAAACTGATTAGGGTCCATCTCATTCAGGGGGGTACTAGGATATAGGGTTTGTTGTGGTGTAAACTGATTAGGGTCCATCTCATTCAGGGGGGTACTAGGATATAGGGTTTGTTGTGGTGTAAACTGATTAGGGTCCATCTCATTCAGGGGGGTACTAGGACCTGGTACCTGTTGTGGTAATTGACTGTGGGAACATGTTTCATCAGAGTCATGCGCTGTTTTGGGGGTGGTATTATGAGATCTAGCATCAATAATACAAACAATCTTACGTGCCTCATCTGTTCTTTGTTTTGCAAGTTCAAGTTCTACAGCTTTCCTTTGAAGCTCTTCTTCTTTTTGGTTTTCCTCTGTTTGTAATGTTAAGACTCTTTTGTTTGCTGCCTCTATCTCTGATTGTTGTATTTCATACTCGGAATGGGTTGAGCCTGATGGAGCTATTGATTCCAATTCGCCCCCTTCCAATCTTTCTTTTAAATGCGTTTCCGCAGCTTCTATAATGACATCCACCTGATTGCCTATTTCATCAATTTCTCTTTCTATTTTTTCTACCTCTGTTTCCGATTCTGGTATGCTCTCGAATATAAACATTTCTTTCAATTTGTTTAGTAATTTTTCTATTATAAGAAATTCCGATTTGATTTTACTAATATATCGTCTAATTGTGTTCTTACTTGCTTTTGTTGTTGATAGGAGCTCGTATAATTTGTTTCTTTCTCTTGTAAGCCTTGTCTTTGCATTTCTTTTCTCACGTTTCAGTCGTTCTATACTTTTCAAAGTCCCAGAAGTATCCGCCATCTTGGATTTTTACGATCTTGTGTTTCGTTTTAATTGCCAAATTTCCCGATTAAATCCGGCTGTCGAAGGTCCAAATGTTCTCACCAACTTGAGAACGTAGTTTGATTTGCTGGTTCTTGCCTAGTTTAACTCAAAATCTCTATTCTTATGACAAATTTATTGCATTTTTAACCGCCAACTCGGTTAGAATATAAAAGTATAAAATCTATTTTTCCCAACGTGTCCGAGCCCGCGATATATGGCGGGAAACTATAACTACTTTATCTTATCTATAGTAATCTGTTCGTAACAACAACTGCTTTAACGAGATGTCACAAATCAAGTTCCTCCAGTATATCGTCTTTTTCCTCAGTCGAGACGTACTTAATCAGTTTCAGCTTCGAGCATGTAACGTTTACCCCACCCTGCCCAATTTCTCTACGGATGTAGCCTTTCTGAGAGAATGGTTTTTGTGGCGATTTGGGGGGGGGGGGCTCTTAATATAACTTGATATTTTTAAGAAAAAAAGTTTGCAATAAAACCTCCCAAAAAAAACACAACGCCTCAGCGGAGGAGAGTGCTAGGAAATAGTCGCAAGGCTTGGAAAGGCTAGCATTTTATCGGATTGTTTGCATGAAATCTATCGCTATTATGAAATACTCGGTGAAGAACAATATGAAATACACACAAGATGGCTGTGGAGGAGGCAACGGAAGGGCATAATCTCATTATCAAGTAAATCAACTGCAATTCTGACAGCAATCATGAGAAATTCTGCTTCGCACTTCGGGGGCAGAAATGGCTTTCCTGGGGGGGGGGGAATTCTTTCCCTGGGGGCAATTGCCCCCCCCCCCCAAATATATAGTTCAAAAAGGCACTGATATCATGGTATAAAATAATATAATATACAATGTCAGCTAGTCAGTTAATAATTTAATTAATGGCAGTTCTGAGTTGTCAGATCTCAAGACATATTCCAAGACAAATTCCAATATCACAAGACAGATCTTGTGATATTGAAGCTCATTGTCACCTCCAGAATGCTAAAAGATACTACCATGCATAGCTTTCAATAAAAATAATATAGTAACTATAACGATTATACAGTTGTCATATTTCTTACTTCCTGAGGTGTAACTTCATGTACTGTGGGTGTATATCACAAAATGGCGTAAGAGTTCCAAGGCAACTGTCATGATAATGACTATACCTCATGCTACTATGTTTCAGCCTACAGTATGAAAGTTTTCCAATCACTAAAATAAAACTTTGCATGCATATACAAAAATTTATCTAGTTTGTCATTCCTGAAAATTCGATAATTTTATACAACAATCATGCTACGTGAAATGACATACAATGTTATAAAGATTTATATTTAGATATCTGATTATATAGATTACAAACAATTGTATATATAGTAAAATAAATGTAGAAATAAAAATAAAGTTATGAAGCCGTCTTGAATAATAGCGCATCAATAAAAATATTAACAGTAGTCAGTAAATTGTAGTTATGGTTTCAAATCTCTTGACTTTCTTTGCCCGGGAGGAATATTCGAACAGATCTGATAAATAAATATTAAATACATAGTCAGCATAATCCAATGCAATAGAATCCAGCATAGAATTTCTGACCAAAATCACTATTTAACAGCAGTTAAAACCCTGCAAGTATAAACAAAACATTTACCTGAATATAAAAGACATCGTAGCAGACAACAGCACATGTCGATTTGATCACAGCGTGCTGCACTGAATATCGCACAAACACACTTTTAGGGCAGGTTTGTTGGCGTAATATTCTTTCCGTGTTCTCTTGTTGTTTTATATGTTTCAATAATTTACTAATAGGTGGATTGGGTTTCATAAAAGTGTATATGGCCAATTATAGGACTGGAAACGAGAGGTTCATTTCCGGTGGAGTACCCTGTAAACAAACGCCGGGCACATGCGCAGAAGGGACTTAACCCCCTCTTTAATAATTAACTTACGTCTTCGTAAACATTAGTCGATACATAAGATGGTACATCAATTAATATGGACAAAATGGAACAAAACCTCTGAAAACAGCAGTTGTAGTTCTAATTATTTTGGTAAATTTAGTAACAAAATTAATATAATCGGTTGGTATGTTAGCGTTATTAAAAGTAGACAATATTGAACATGCGTGATCAGAAGTTATCATGCAACTGACAACAATATGATCTCAAAATACCTGTATATGATGATATTTCACAAATATATCGGGATTTTTGGACCAATTTTAAACTTAGCAAGGCAAAAAGTCTCCATTCAAGAATATATCTTCTTCTCAAAAGGTAAAATACTTGGAATACTTGATTAAATTGTTTACTTCGACGGTATGTAAATTAAAAGCGTTTGACTTGCAAGACGTCAAAAACGGACGATTTCAACGCGCTGTCGTTTATCGCGTATTCCTTTGCCCAAAGAAGTATTTACGTCAATTGAAAGCTTGTTTATTAAAGAGCCAAGTAGTAGAAGCATGATCGATTTGGAGCTTTATCATATAGTGAAAATCGGTTTTGTTAAGAGGGTATCGTAACTGAAGTAAGATTTTGTGCTCCAAAACTACGATTATTTCTATTCCTAAAAGTAACTCAGATTTCCTGTAAGTCACGTACCCGGTCCTTTGAATAACCGAGAAGAAGATTTTTAGGGTTTGGATCGATTATAAACGGTTGTCGTCGTGAAATTTGTCGCTAAAAGCAGCGCATATTTTCCCAGACGAAATGGCGATTTAGGGTGGTCGTGTTAAAACGGCATTTTCTCAAAGTTAAAAAAGCATTTGACCTAAAAAAATTTCTGGTGCATTTTCCGATATAATAAGGTATATCTGGGCAAAATTTGAGCAAAATCGATTTTTCAGTCGTGGCCGCCTTATGTTTGATTTTTGTGGACATCCTCTCTTAATTACCAAGCGATACATTTTGATGATAAAGTATTTTAACAAAATGAGCTGATATTTCCGTTGAAACTCCTAATATGTTCTACATAGAAAATTAAAACATTTAAATAGAACAAATTTAATTGTCATAAAAGCGCATGCGCGACATTAATTTCTGACCATGTTTCATCGTTACGACTTGAAAAGCTAAATAACTGTTCTTTCGTCCTATGTAAAAATTGAATTGTTTAGCAAAGTTGATGATGCAAGACAGCCTGTTGAATTTCCATAGCGTTTTTTAGACACCCTGTATATAAACATTTGTGAACTCGCACTTCGGGCACACTTTCCCGCTGATTATTTCTCGTTTTCCCAAACTCCAACGCGTGATTCTATAACTGTATAGAAACATGGGGAAAATGTTTTCTATTTCTTAAATATTTTGCGTGGCAGCCATTAATATGAATAGTGCAACTATGCATTTTGTCAGGTCTTACCTGACTTTGCGACTTCGTCTGCTGAGAAAGTCGTCTATTTTCGGGAGTATCTGCCACCGATGTCAACTTTGTTGTTGTTGGGTAATGTCTAAAATAAGATGACAGAACCAAGTTTTGAAACACAATACAACTAAAGAATATATTTTCTATAGAACGAATCGCAAACAATGATCGCACTTTTGTTTAAGCCAACCACAGAATATGTTCATTTCTCTGTTAGCAAGTATTTGGAATGGATCACGACCCTTTACGACCCGCAGTGGCGGACACTAGGGGACGGGGAAGGGGCCAAATCCCACAAATAATTTCCGAAACATGATTGATAGATGAATAACTGTGTAATAAAGCCGTGACAATTCCTTTTCGATTATAAGAAAGCATGATAGGGTATAGATAAATCTAAATATTGTATGAAATTTAACGGTGGTCATCCCCCCCCATATTTTGTGAAATTTCCACCACCGCTTACGATGGCTTACAAGAATTTCAAAACGTTGCTCATTGAAACCACATAGAGCGGAGTTTGATGTCACGCCGTGCACATGGTCGCACAATTACAAGAGGCCGCTTGAGTTCCTTAGACGAATAGACGTCGCACGTTGGTTGAAAGATTTAAAGATGCTGTAAAGTCCGTTCTGCGCATATAATCTGCGCATCAACACATTCCATCAGTGGGGGAGAGCAACCTTTGGAATGTTGTTAATATTTCGCACCTTCCGAACTTTCTTGAATTGAATCTCTAGTCTGCATTCATTTACAAGCATAGCGAACCGGAAGAGTGTTAAAAATTCAGTATAATACATATCTAATCATATTTTATAACTGTAGCACTGAGTTCAAAATGTAAACAAAGCGATTGATTACATTACGGACTTTACATCACCTTTAATCAAATATCCACCAAAAGTCAGAGCCATTGAAGCCAAAACAATAGCTTAGCAGCTCATCCGATTAAACAATAGTTTAGCTACTCATCCCCATCACGCAATTCGTCAGCCTTCACGTCGATGTTTTCTTCAAAACCCACTAATCCCACCCCTGACATCCGGGCTCCCTCATAAAGAGGAGACCGACGCCCCCTGCTTCCGGCTCGATTATTGTTCAATGAATAGGCTAATCTCTATACAGGTGGCTGAGCTCCCTCTTTTTAAAAATTTTATGATGATTAGGGGGGGGGGGGGG